TTATAAATTCTTGAAACTGATATTTCTTTTTACTGATAAGATATTTGATTAAATATCTTAATAATATATTTTAAATACTACGTCATATTTAAATATATGTATATGTAGTATAAGTATAATAATAAAAATAATAATGAAAATTTTTATATATATTTGTACATCTGTGTAAACATATATAGTAATATAATTCAATTATATATATACATATTTATATATATTACGATATCTGATTTTATAAGATTTTTAAAAAATAATATTAATTTGCTATGATTTCACATTAAAACATTTTAATAAATTTTTTATTTTATTTTTCTTGATATTAAATATTTTACTGAAATATATAAAAAGTGTAAATAAATTAATAAAAATATTATATATTAATATCGAAATTTTTCATTATATTTTTTATTTTGTTCTTAATTTTATAATAATTATTATTATTTTTGTAATATTCAAATTAAGTCAATTTCGAAATTATTTGTAATAAATAAACAATCTAATTTTATAATAGCAAATCTCATAAATGTATTTATGCGAAATCCATTTAATGAATTATAATCAACAATCTGGTCTTTTAGCTTAACCTTCAATGATAATCACTTTCCTTGGAATACTTGAAAGTCTATTGTTGATATTATTAAATCTCGACAACAGATAAATACTTGCAATACCAGTTAAACTTTTAAACGACAATCTTTCGTATTAGTAGATCATTAAATTTATAATGTTTTTTTCTAACAAAAAAATATTATATGTTATGAAAATGTATTATTATAAAAAAATTTATATAATTAAATAAAACAAAATATATATAAATAAATAAAATATATATTATAATATATATTATTAAAATAAAAATATTTATTGGATTATTAGTTTTTTGTTATGTTTTGTTATTATTAGTTTTTGTATGAACTATTATTGAAAAATTATTTTAATAAATGTATCAATGTATCCAAGAAAAGAATTACCACTAAATTGAAAGTAAATGATATAAATGTATATATATTAATATATTTGAATAATTGATTCTAGAACTTAAACAAACATAAAAGTTGGTATACAAAAATATCGAAAACTTATTTATTGAATTATTAATAATCTAAATTCGTATTAAATAAAGCAAGACAGAATGTAACAATGATGTAAGACGGAGTCTAATTCTCTTTCCATCCCGCTCCAAATTTTAATTAATTATAATTTAACAAATAAATCTTAATCAATATTTTGTACATAAACTTTTATGATTTTGATCTCTAGAATCGATTCTTTAAAAGTATCTCATATATATTAATAAGAATAGAAAGATTATAATTTTTTTTTTCCATTTTTAATAAGCTTAAATATCAAAATAAAAATTCTTTTTACGTAAAAATGTTTAAAAAATGAAATTTTGATATTATTTACGATTCCTAAAATTTTCTATTTTCATCTAGAAAAAAAATTGTTTTCATCATTTTCTTTTGAAATTTTTATTATTCATCGATGTCAAAAAAGTTATATAAAGGCTAAAAAAAAAAAAAAAAAATACAATGTATGAAACTTATAAAAAAGACGATATTAAAGATTCATGGTAGTGGGGTAAGAATTGTATACGTTTGCACGTATTGTTATTATACGGAATTTTATTTAAGGAAGTGTAAGACTTCGAGACAGTATATGATAAAACACGTACAGGCTTCTGCTCCAGAACTCTTCAGGCTACGAACTGTTGCTCAGTCTTGCTGACGAGTCAATAAAATTTCTCAACTTTTGTAATTCTTTAAGAATTTTTATAAAAGAGATTCTTAAAGAAAAAACCAATAATATATTCTAATATCAAATGAATTTCTAATATTTTAATGAATTAAAAATTTCTCAACAGCTTGCAGAATATAATAAAAATAAAATGTTAAAATTATGAATATTGAATTTTTCCAATCTTAATATATGTATAATATATAATACTATTATCAAATATTTAATTAAAATAATCCTAAAATAAACACAGTAATCCTAAATTAATTACAGTAATCCTAAAATAAAAATTCCGATTTTACCATACAAAATTAAGAAAAATTCCCCCCAAAAAAATGCTATTTTTTCAATCGGCAATACGTCATCCAACCAACATTGTTTTCACAACTGTTCATTACGGTATATAATTGACGAATCGCGAAAACGATGATCAATGTAGGTCGCTCCATCGACGATGAAGATATTCGTCGTTTGTTTCATCATTTGGGCGTTTATAAACCGGGAAACGGTACTCGCAAGCAGCCTCGATGCTCAGAAAAATGATGGTCAAATAGAAAATTTGGAATTTATACTACCGCCTTCCTTGGAAGGTTTCTCAATCGATAATTACAAGAAGTATGGAAACGCAGAGGACCAACAAATCGATTTAGAGACATTAGATAAAAAGATACCTGCTGATAATTTCTTCGCTTCGTCCACACAAGCGGTATCAAAACGTACGGCGTCATCGGCGGCGCTTTTATCAGCCTTGAACGAGAAACTTGACATCAAGGAAGAGAAAGCACCATTGAAATCTGGAGAAGGAGCTTTGAACGGAGTTCAAATTCTAGATAAGCCATTCTCTTTGGAAAAATTTAAAAACGATAAAAAGGAAATTGGCACAGAATCAAGTAAAATTAAACGAGCTGCAACGATCACAAATTCTAAATGGGATAAGATCGAGGAAGAATCGACGAATGAAAAGAATAAAGGGATTGTTACGAAAACATATGTGAAAAAAGGCCCAGTGATTAAAACATGGAGCTGGACCAGCGAAGAAAACGAATTGAAGAATATTCCCTCCAGCGAGGAAATTCAATTTCTTAAAGAAGAAAAAATAAAGACAGAAGCTAAGATTAAAACGGAAGCGGAAGCACGAGCGAAAATTGAAGCAGAAGCGGCAGAACTTCGTCGACAATTGAAAATTCAGTTAAAGGTCCTTAGAGAAGCACAGCTGAAGGCTAAGAAGGAAGCAGAAGCTCGAGCAAAGGCGGAAGTTTTGGTGGCGTCGGAATCCAAAGCTTTGGCTGCAGCTCGAGCAACAGCGAAGGCCAATTCCGAGGAGGCTGCGCAGGCGGAAGCGAAGGCAAAGATGGAAAAAGAAGCTCGTTCTCGGTTACAATCGAAAATTATAAAGATACTCGACGCTCGTTCCAAGTTTGAAGAGGAAATTGCGATTACCAAAGAGGTAAAGGAAAAAGCGAAGCTTTCGGCGGAAGCTTCGTTAGCAGCTAGTGTGGCCGCCAGGGAAGCTGCGAAGGCAATTAGAATTGCTGTCATGGCTCGAGCAAATGCCGCCATGAAGGCTTTAGCCGCTCAAAAAGCTACTCTTATCCAATCAATTGTTTCTAGCAATGCTAAAGCCTTGGCTAACGCTCTAAGCGTTGCGATCGAACAAGCTACAATTTCCTCGAAAGCTGCAGCGGATTTGCAAGCTGAAGCGCTTGCTATAACCAATCAGGCGGTGAAAGCAGCTGCTGCAGAAGGGGCTATTATCGATTATGCGAAATATAGAGCGGCAATACTTGAGAATGCGATTAAGAGGGCAAAAGCATCTATAGAAGCGGCTGATAAAGCGACTGCGGCTGCTATTACTTCCACTAATAATTTAGCGCGTTTACAGATAAATAATCAGAACTTTGCTGATAATGTGGCCAGCCTACAGGAAAGTACGATTTCAAAAGCGGAGACGGCGTTGGTGGAAACGAATGCGGCGGCTAGAGAGGAAATTGCTGCAATGGCGATAACGGACGTTGAAAGTTCGACCATTGAGGCGGCAGTTGCGGCTCGTGTGAATCCAATTCAAGCTGTGAGGAATGGAGTTGTTATCGGATTGGGATCGTCTGTGACTGAACTTAACGCGCAACAAGCAGAAATACTGACGAAAGTGGTTGAGAATCGAGACAAGTGAGAAGAGAAAATAGGAGGAGATTATAAAAAATTATTTACGATCTACGAAAATCGTAGATATGGAATGAGGAAAGGCGATGTTTTGATTTTTTTTTAAATAAGAAATGTGAGGAATTATAAATATAATGTCACATAGCATTGAGGAGATTGTTTTTTATTATTTCATTTCCCTTAAATCCCTTTGAATTGATATGTATCATAACAAAAATTAAAAAATATTGCTAAATGGAAAGAAAATAATAAAACGAAAATATTGGATATAAATAAAAACTGAAAAATTAAATTATTATATATAATGTATATATTAGAATTTATTTTATCAATAAAGTATATGCATCAGTTAAAGTAATATAATTTATTTTATTTGAAAACTTTTATACTATTTTTATACGAATACATAAGAATTTTCTTGCGTGAAAGAATGAAATGAAACTTAAAATATATTATATATAACATGAGTATAACTTTTTTAAATTGATTCGTATTGAATAAAGAGTTATATTGTTACGAACATACAATAACTTTCTTTCATAAATACATTTCTTAAATACATTTTATTTCAAAATTGATAAGATAATTCTTATCTAATTCTAAAATTTTTTTTTATGATGAAATTTAATACATAATATATAAAATTTGATGATTCTTGAATTTTTATATATTTCATGAAAAAAATATAAAATTGTATAAATTATTTATATAAATTAAATATAAATGCAAAAACATTATTATTTAATGTAAATAAATATATATTCATATATCAAAAAATAAATATCAAAATTTTAAATAAAAAATTTAAAAAATTAGAATTATTAAAATATACATCATATAATTACATTATGCAAATTTTTATGTAAATTTTATTTGATTTTAATATTTAAATATGTTTCAATATTACTTATATGATAATAGTTTTACACGATAAATAAGAAAAGTATCGGTTAATCATTGATTTTGTTACATTGAATAAAAAAAATGTACAAAAAAAAATAACAAAAATATAATTCACAAAAACAATCTAAGGAAACTAAAAACTGTCATAAATATTTAAAATCAGAATTTTATCTTTAAGTTTCTTAAATATTCATTATTTATTCTCCTCATTACGTTAAAATTAGCGTCTTAAAAATTGATCAACGATTTTGTCCATTTTCGATAACGAGCGCTTAATTAAACACATCCACTTCCGACCTAAATATCATCGAAATCATCATCATCACTTGCAAAGTGCGACCTGAAACAATATTTTCAATCATGCTTAATCAGACCAGACTCCATTAATTATTTTCACAACTGTCAACGCCGCTATAAATCCGTCCAGCATCTCACACCTGGTATCAATTCGCGAAGCATCGTCAAACATGAAGATTCCAGTATTGCTTGCAACGTGCCTCTACCTTTGCGGATTTGTGTCCGCCGGTTTGGAAGGGTCGGGTAACTCATTGCCCGAGCTCGTGAAAGGTAGTGCATCGGCCACCGCGTCGACTGCTGTGACCGCTAGATCGGGACTTAGAGCCGGACAGGTAGCTTTAGCTTCGCAGAAGGATGCCGTACTCCAAGCTGAAGCTGCTGCATCCGCCGCGTCAGAGGCACGCGCTGCTGCCGATCTGACGGCTAAACTTAGCCAAGAATCGGCGTCAGTGCAATCGCAGGCTGCCGCCAAAGGGAAAGAAACGGAGGAGGCAGCGGTTGGTCAAGCTAGAGCTGGTCTCGAGTCGGTATCCATCGCCGCATCGGCCACTTCTGCTGCCAAAGAAGCATCAACCGCCGCCAAAACCGCAGCATCCGCATTATCCACAGCCACGGTACAAGCGAAAATAGCTGAGAGAGCAGCCAAGGCTGAAGCTGTTGCCTCAGAGGAAGCCAAGGCCAAGGCGATTGCCGCAGCCAACTTGGCGGCTGCGGCCAGTGTAGCCGCGGAAGCAGCCCTCAAGGCCGAGAAAGTGGCTGAAGAAGCCATCGCAAGAGCGGCCTCTGCAAAGGCTGCTGCAAGGGCTGCTGCGGCCGCTCTAGCCTCCTCAAAGGAAGCAGCCACGGCCAGTGCGAGAAACGCCGCGGAATCCGAGGCCAGGAACGAAGTAGCTGTATTGATCGCCGAGATTGATAAAAAGAGTAGGGAAATCGACGCAGCCACTTCGCTTAATGCGCGTGCCGCTGCCAAGGCAAGCTCCAGGAACGTAGAAACGGCGACAATCGGAGCTAACATCGACTCTTCGAAACAAGTCGTATCAATTCCAGTGGAAATAAAGAAATTCCCGGAGCCGGAACTGTCAACATCATGGAGAGAAGATGAAGAGGTTACGAAAGGGAAGAAGGAGGATATAAATCTGAACGGCTTCGAACTGAAGAGCAATGTATTTTAGAAAGAATTGGATAAAATATCGGGAAAAGCGATTTGTTTGAAAGTAAATTTCAGCCGTTATAGGATGTATTAAATGCTTCCGGAGAAAATGTTGTCTATAGTCAGACAGAGATTGTAATGAAGAAAATAAATTGGTTTAGCATATATGTAGTCTTTTGATGTTCTTTGCCTTTCTATTCTTTCAAGATTCAATAGAAGTTTCAAGTTAAAAATTAAATTTACTTTCTTATTTTTAATTTTTGAATTTCATATTATGAAATTTATATTAAAAATGTATTGATTAATCTTGCAATCAACAATGTTTGACATATTCAAATAAAGTACATTTAAAAAAATTTCACATGTAAAAAATTATATATTTTTTTTCGATTGGTTGGAATAAATTTAATTTATTATATATATCTATATAACTTATATATATCTATCATATATATATCTATCATGAAACAATAAAAATTAAGCAATTTGTATTTAATTTAAAAATTAATACAAAAAATTAAAATATTCATAATTCTTCGATAATATTAAAAGATAGATGAAAAACTTACTACTTGAAATTGTATTAACAAAAAAACTTATGAGTATTATATAATCTACGATTGTAGTATACATTATTATATTTTGATTATAAAATCGTAACGATATATAATAAAAATAATATAAATAAATATTTTGAAAATAAATTTATTTCCATAATTTAAAATTTTATATGAAATACTATCAAAATCTATCAATATTTACTTTAATTTTAATTTTTACAATCTTTTTCCAATATTATTACAAATATTTTGTTATATATTTAAATTTATATATATATATATATATTATATATTATATATATTATATTTAAATATATGAAATTATTAGTAATATTAATATTAATATATCTGATTCAATATCTAACAATAAGTAATTCTTGATAGCCAATTGTTAAAATAATGTTAAGATATGAAGATTCTTCATATTGTCAATTTGTTCATAATTTTTATTTACAAAAACTTACTTTTTGCTAATTCAGACTTATAATGTCTAGATTCATATATAATAAAAATAACTAATTTGAATAATTGAATAAATTTAATTTTTAAATAATTGAGCAACAAAATTCAAAGATATATTTAAATAAAAACAAATTACGATAATACGAAAATACGATAATATTTAAAGAATAAAAAATAAATTAGATTTTATTAAAAATGAATTAAAAAAGAAAGATTTGTAAATTTGTATTAACTTATTGCAATCATATTGATTCATTTATTTCTTAAATCAAATCGAAAAATTAACTCAATTTAGAATTACACATTTTTCTCGAAAGAAATTTTAGGAATTTTAGGAATAATACATAACAAAAGCAAAATATTTAAGCATAACCAATCGTTGCACCTAAATAAATACAGTTCAATAAAAAAAAATCTCACAAAGCTTCTCTCTCTCTCCCAATTCCTTAAGATTACTTAAAACAATATTTTAAGATGGTGTAACGTATCAATTTTCATCCAAAACACCTGCTGTTTTCACAATTGTCCCATCACCCACTATATAACCGTGAATGATCTTACGAATCGGCATCAATCAGGAAAGCTGCGTCGAACATGAAGATTCCAGCAATATTCGTCACGTCTCTGCTGGTCTGGGGATTGGCCAAGGGCCGCGTGATTAATCAATCCCTGAAGTCGAACGTGGATAATCAAGGAGCAGCAGGACAAGTCGGCGATGGATCTGACGCGATTGGCTCCTCCATAGAAAACGCCCTAAAAGTTGCTCGAGCGTCTGAGAACGTGGGCCTGAATCTGGAATTGAACGCAGGCGCGCGTGCTGCCAGTGTTGCCGCTGCTGCCCAGGCCAAAAATACAGAGGCTGCGGAAGCAGGAGCAAACGCCGCTCTGGCCGCCGCCATTGCCAAACGGGAGGAAGCGATTAAAGCCAGCGAGATAGCAAACCAGTTGTTGACTAATGCAGCAAAGGCGGCAGAGGCAACTGTATCAGCAACGAAGAGGGCAGCACAATTGACGGCTGCGGCGAAAGAAGCAACCAGAGCTTCTGCAGCCGCTGCTGAAGCTGCCACGGAGGCCCAGGTAAAGGCTAACGCCGATTCGATCATCACGAAACGGGCTGCGATTGCCGAGGCTCAAGCTGCAGCGGAAGCTCAAGTTAAAGCAGCAATCGCCAAGAAATCGGCAGCGAACTTTTTGGCTAAGGCTCAAGTAGCAGCTGCTGCGGAATCCGAGGCCACGAAACTCGCGGCCGAAGCCGCAGTGGCATTAACAAACGCAGAAGTCGCCGTGAACCAGGCTAGGAACGCACAGGCAACCGCCTCGACTCAAGCTTCCGCGGCTGTTAGGGTAGATTCTCAAGCAGCGAATGCTGAAGCAGCCGCTGTAGCACAAGCCGAAACTCTCTTGGTTACGGCAGAAGCTGTCGCAGCTGCAGAGGCTGAGGCTGCGAGCAAAGCCGCCTCACTAGCAAAAAAGATCGTCGATGAGAAAAAAATACGTGTAGAAAAGTTGGAATAAAGAGAAGATAGAGAATGATGGATAGATTAAGTTGAAGCAGAGTTGGCAGAATAAGAGGCGGAAGATCGTTGTCAAAAAGACAAATTACCTTGATAATTTGATTTAAACACGATGATTATTGACAGATATTATATGAAGAAAGATAATTAACATAGTTGAGATTCATTCGTGTAATATTTTAGTGGAAATAAATTGTCGTAGCAACTCGAATTCTGATGAATGTTTTTCTTACGATACACTCCTCCTATATTCTTATCCTTTTTTATTTGTTCTATATTGAAATGAATATATAGTCATTAGATTCTTTATCTTTTAATTCGTATTATTTAAAAAAAATTAATAAATATGATGAAAGAGCTTAACGAAATTCTATGTAGAATATAGAATAAATTTAATCTTATAAGAAAAATTTGAACGACAATTATATTATATTTTATATATTAGTTATTAGTTGTATAAAGGCAATTATATTTTAATTTGCTTTATTATTGGAAAAATTTTCTTGTTTACATTCTCAAATTTTATATCAAATTTATAATAGATGTACTTATTCTTTTCTGTGTTGTCAAATATATTTATTTTTAGACAAAATTATGAATATAAATGAATATGTATTAAAATATGTTTAATCTTGCATTTTTTGTAGACAAAATCAAGTTAAAATATATTTAATCTTGCGTTTTATTGCGTATTGGATTTGAAATTTCATTTCTAATATATTATTATTTCGATGATAAAAAATAATAAAATGTTTAAATATTAAATAAGAAAATATTATGTGTTGTTTAATATACCAAAATCCTTCTATAGATATTAGTTTCATTAATTAATATTTTTATTCTTGATACGTTTTCTGAAATAAAATATATATATATATATAAATATACATGTACATATATCTCGTTAAAATGCTGATTGTTGATATGTATGAAATATTATAATAAATTTGAAATACTGATTGTGTATTTCAAATATTACTATAATTTATTTTAGTATACAATCCAAAGTTTGTAATCCAAAATGACTTGAAATGATAAAAATAGATTAGATTCAAAAAATCGTGAATTTCGTCGATGCAAAGTACATATTATCTCGTATAATATATCTCCATCACAAATCTTTACATCATTCATAAATAAAATTTAAATTCAAAATATCGAAAAATAATATCAACAACGAACCACACCTTCGTATTATTCCAATAAATATTCGTCTTCAAACAAAACTCTACTGAAGCAACAAAATTACACTTTTCTCTTCCCTTGAATATAATCGCACACCTGTAAACACTACTAAATTAGGCACAAATATTGAGAACTTAATCAAAGCAAGAAAAACAAAAAGAATCGGACCGTTCGCGACAATATTTCTTCTTAACTATTTACACAACTGTAACCCCCTGTATATAACATACGCGGGCGGGAAGGAACGGCATCAATCGACAAAGTTCCGTCGACCATGCAGATCCCAACGCTTCTCGTCATATGCTTGCTCGGTACATCGGGCTTGGTGCACGCAGGCGTCGAGGAATTCAAGGCAACCGAGGAGGTGATCGGCAAAAAGTTAGAAGTCGACCTGTTGAAAAATGTGGACACTAGCGCGAAACGAAAAGAGAACGGCGCCCCAGTGCTCGGCAAGAACATATTCAAATCCCTGGAGAAGATCAAGGCATCGGTAGGCGCGGATGCTAAAGCATCAGCCGTGGTGAAAGCGTCCGCTCTGGCTCTTGCAGAGGCCTATTTGCGAGCGTCTGCATTGTCAGCCGCCGCTTCAGCCAAGGCAGCCGCTGCCCTGAAGAATGCGCAACAAGCGCAATTAGTCGCCCAGGAGAAGGCTTTGGCCGCGTTGAAAGCTCAGTCCGAGGAAGAGGCAGCTTCTGCTCGTGCGAACGCAGCAGCCACTGCGACACAGTCGGCAGTGGAACGCGCTCAAGCCTCCTCCAGGATAGCAACGGCCGCCCAAGATGTAGCCAGCGACTTGCAGAAACGGACCAGTACCAAGGCCGCGGCTGAAGCCGCTGCTACCCTCAGGCAATCACAGGACGCAGAACAGACCAAATGGAATGCCAAATCTGCCTTGGAAACCTCCGCCGCTGCAGCTGCCGCAGAAACGAAGACCACTGCCTCTTCGGAGGCCGCTAGCGCCGCCGCCAAAAAGGCGGCCGCGATAGCTTCTGACGCGGATGGCGCGGAAAGGTCGGCATCTACCGAGGCACAGTCAGCTGCGAAGATTGAAAGTGTGGCAGCCGCCGAAGGATCTGCCAACTCGGCCTCCGAGGATTCCCAGGCCGCGCAATTGGAAGCCTCTGCCGCGGCGAGAGCCAACGTGGCCGCAGCTATCGGGGATGGAGCGATTTCAGGACTTGGACAGGACGCGGGTGCCGCGGCTCAGTTGCTTGCACAGGCGAAGGCATTAGCCGAAGTTAGTTCGAAATCCGAAAATATTGAGGATAAAAAATTTTGAAGGAGGCATTTAATAGGGATTTGAATGGAAACCTTTCTTAGATCACTGAGAATTTTGATTGGGAAGAATAGGAGTTGATTGTTTGGATATGATTAGAGAACAGGTTGAGGACGGGGCCGATTAAAATTAAAAGTAAAACATTGTCGAAACGACCTTACCTACGTGATAATAAAGATCCACTATTTTAGCAAATATGTCTTTTCTTGGTCTGATTTCATTGCGTCCTATTTTTTTTTTCCACGAATCCTTTTTAATCTTCAACGATTATTAATTTTTATCCTGTTGATTTTAAGATAAGTTTTTAAGGTATAATAATAATAAAAATAAAATAAGTTTTTAAAATAATAGAGAAACTTTACAATTGAAAATTTAAGAAACGTATTAATAATACATATAATATTTGATGATACTTCTGTTTTTAATTCTTTTTCTATTTCTGCATACTTTTTATTCCTGTATACTTTTTATTCTTTTTATATAGAAATTGATTCAATTTCAAAATTACTGATGATTCTAATACTACTCTATATTTATCTTGATATGTAAGAATTTATAATTTCATAATATGTATGATTCATATGTATACATTGAATGATTTAGATTAGTGAAACTTACAATGAATAAGTACAATAAAAACTTATAATAATTAGAAAGCGTATAAATATATATTAAAATTATTTCACTTTTATTATAAAAGTATAAATTTTCAACTTGTATATAATGACAATTTCTTTTTATTTTAAAATCAATAGTCTAATTATTTAATCATTTATATTTGACTTGATCAATAAATTTTGAATTATCATTTGCAAACGAATACACGAAAGTAAATAATAAGTTAAATTATAATATTTTCAAAATCAATATTTAAATAACAATTACATAATGCATGTGTTCGATATATGTACTATAAATAAATTTATTATTATCATTATTATTTCTTAAATGGTTTCTTGTAAAATTATACTGTTCTACTTTCCACTTTCGATTCTGAATATATGCAAATATAAATACAACATTGATATTAATATTTCAATTAAATGTCAAAATAATAAAATAATCGAATGATTAAAATAATTTATATTTATAGGGAACACGATGTCTTTAAAAATAATAATTTTTTTTAAAATAAAAGATATAAAAGATAAAAGCAAACATGTAAAATAATTATAGATAAATATAGAAAATTACTTTTAATTAAAAGGAAGGATGGAATATTTTTAAATAATGAAACTGTATCTATTAAAGTAATCAACACGCATAACAAGAATATATTTAATTCTATAATAAATATTTTAATTTTTAAGATTCAAATCTCTGCGATATTTTTCAAAATTTGATATATTTTAAATACATCATAAATATCTATAACAATCTATGCAATTAAATTACCGATAAAATTTAAATTTCATTGTTTCATATTTCAAAATTTAGTTTCAAAACAATTTTCAAAATTATTTCCGAAATAATAAATTTTCTTTATCAAAATCATACAATCACACGAATAATAAATAATCCCTTCCCAAAGAAGAAACAAATATTATATTTCAGACTGGGACCCACCTAAATAAACCCAGATTTCCCCATAAAAAAATATCGATAACAAAAAGATAAAGTTACATATTTAAATATCCATGCAACAACATTTACAAATAATAACACCAATGTTTTCACAATTGTGAATGTCAGTATAAAACGAGGAAATCCCGCCTGAGTCGGCATCAATTTTGCGAAGCAGCCTTGAAGATGAAGATCCCATCCATACTCGCGGTTTCCCTGCTGATCTGGGGTTTGGCAAGCGGCGCAAGCGAAGAGGTGGAGGTACGGGACAAGACCAAGACCTCGACAGCGGTGAAAAGCGAGAAAGTGGAAGTCGTTGTTCCCGCTAAGGATGAACTTAAATTAACGAGCGAGCCCATCCTTGGAAGAAGAGTGGGAACTGGAGCATCCGAGGTGGCATCTAGCAGCGGTGAAGCCATCGCGATAAGTCTTGGAGCAGGGCAGGCAGCGGCAGAATCTCAGGCCGTGGCCGCCTCGCAATCCAAAACGGCAGCAAACGCCGCCATAAACGCAAGCGAGCTTGCCAACAAGGTTGCTGCTCTAGTTGCTGGCGCGACTGCAGCGCAGGCGAGAGCGGCCGCCGCCTCCTCGGGCGCGTTGAAGGCCAGCTTGGCGACCGAAGAATCGGCGGAAGAGGCCGAGGCGGCCGTGGCTGCCGCCAAGGCTGCCGCGGAAAAGGCTGAATCCCTGGCGAGAAATCTCGCATCGGCGAGCGCTCGCGCGGCTCTCTCGTCGGAAAAAGCGAACGAATTGACTCAAGCTGAGAGCGCGGCAGCGGCCGAAGCGCAGGCCAAGACAGCCGCCGCCGCCAAGGCAGCGGAAATCGCCCTTAAGGTCGCCGAGATAGCGGTGAAAGCGGAAGCGGACGCAGCAGCTGCCGCCGTGGCAGCTGCAAAGGCAAGGGCCGTAGCAGACGCGGCCGCTGCCCGTGCTGCAGCCGTGAACGCCATCGCCAAGGCGGAAGAGGAGGCCTCGGCCCAAGCAGAGAACACCGCCGGTGTTTTGCAAGCCGCCGCCTCCGCCGCGGCGGAATCGCGAGCCGCTGCAGCGACCGCCGCTGCGACTTCGGAGGCAGCGGCTGAGGCTGGCCCGTTAGCAGGGGAGCTGAAACCGCCGCAATGGAAACGGGTTCCTGTGAAGAAGGAAGAGTGGCAAACGTCGACGAAGGAAGAATGGAAAGCGACGAATGAAGAATGGGAGCCGGTGGCGAAGTAAAAGGGCGCGAGGCCGACAATACGGGAACAGTTGCATGAAAGAAATTAGACATCTTTAAGGCAGAGTATATTGTAGAGTAGAGAGGATAACGCGCATACGAGAGATGATTAAAAGATACCTTTATTAAATACGAATCGAAATTGTACGATGACTTATTAAACTGTTGTAGCAAATCAGTACATGTTTTACTACATATGCTTCCTGGCACACATATACCTTTCTCTTTCTCTTTGTCCTTCCATTGTTGGCGATTCGTCATGTGGAAATAAAATAAATGTCAAACGTATACGTGGAACAATGTTGTTGAAATCTGATGATAATATTGGATGATCGAAAATTATTTACCGAAGAGAAATGAATGTATCGGTATATTGAATTATTCGAGTATACCATTCTGTTATTAGTAAATACTAATATGAATATATATATATATTGGTAAAACTCGTTTGTAAAAGGAACGTTCGTGGTACGAAATAATCTCTAATCTCGAAATATCACGAACTTGTTTCGAGATCGATGATTCAGAAGGTTACAGTCTCTTCACTTGGAAGAACGATGTTAGTGAGCAACTTTCCCTTTCTTCTTTACTTTCCTCCCGTGATATCACGCCATTTCACGTCGCGATCATGTTGGCAAAATTTCATTTTGTTAATTAGAGATTGATAAAATATGATCATGAATAAATTCACTCGATGATTAAATTCAATAATTAAATTCGTAGCAATTGGTAAAAAAGAAATCTTACTTATAATTCGTCTTTTTTATAAATTCGATCGATAATTTTTGCACTGTATTACGTAAACGTTATTAACCATAAGATATCTAGTCTTGATTCCTTCCTACTCGTTACCTTAAATGGTCCGGAAGAAACTCTCTATGACCTATTATTATATTATATTCTTCTACGCGACAGTGGTTCTCTGACGAGAACGTCGTTCCATTAATCGAATATGAGATGCCTTAATGAAACAGCGAAAGTTGTTACAAAGTTAGATTAACGAACACAAAATATTGCCAACGAAATAGGCACATGTATATCTTAATGCTAGACAATTACCACATTGATTATACGAGATACGCTTTTACAAGTTTTTGTAATGGCATAGTCGTGATGTGGTAAGCAGTGTTTTGTGAAAGATTCGACCGTTTCAACCTCCAAGACATCGTTTTCCACATGCGTGGAAAAACGATAAACTAACCCAACTTCTTTTCTTCAAATACAATGATTTCGTGATATATGATAATGAATAAATCGTTAGTTTCCTTGTTGTTATTCTAAAATTATTACACATAAATTAAGTATGATACATATATGATATGATACATATATTATATATGATCACGAAAATTTGTACTGAGTGTACAAAGTATAATATCATGGAGTAAGATATAATTCTGAATAAAAAGAAAATAATAGAACGTAAAGAATAAAATTTTTTTAAATAAATCTTCGATTTTGAAAAAATTGATTCTTAAAATATACTAATAAAATTTAACGTTACAATACATGTATTCAATTTTTATATTAACAAATTAAATTTATCAAAAAATAAAATACTACTATATTATAGTTCTCATCGATAACAAAGTATAATATGTGTTATTATCAGTTCCATATAAAATAATAATTCTATGATTACGAATAATTATTTTAAAAGTATAAATATGTGTAAATAAAAAGAAAGAGTATTAATAGTATAAAATTTAGAGTTTAAAACTGAGTTAAATGTAACTGCATAAAACGAAATTTTATTTTTAAAAAATTATTTTTTATCTTTGATTAATTATTTTATTTAACTCAACAGTATCTGTATATTTTGCAGAATATTATATTACGAATAAAATTTACTTAGGATCTAATTTGTTATAATAGATATAATAGAAATAAGTTTATCACTAAAATTACTATTTAAAAGTAATACTAATATAAAACATTTGTATTTTGTTTCAATTTTCAATTCTGGGATAATTATTACTTGCTAAAGTAATTATTTTTAATGTATTATATACATCATTATTTCTTCATAATATTTATACCAGTGAAAGACTTACAATTAACTAATATATCCCACGTATCTATTAAAACAATCTTTATTTTCTCATAGAGATACAAATCATATAAAACCACTAATTAAGAAAGTATAAATAATTATCTTGTAACATTTTATAATTAAATAATTACATTAATTGAATAATTAATTAAAGCAATTTTTCGATCATCGCTAATAAGCGAATAAAAATAGCGATTCAAGAAATTCAGATCAACAAAAGCAAAAAAAAAAAAAAAAAAAAGAAGAAGAAGAAGAAGAAAGATCCGTAAACTGAATGGTAACCCAGTTTGTCATATGTATCACTCGCAACTGGAATGCATTGGTCGTGGATTTGATTCCATTTGCATCTTTCGACAGTGTGAGAGCGCAATATGTATACCCTATATTGTCGCATACTCTATGTACCGTTCAGGTGTACATGCGCGTCCACCGTTGGTGAACGAGAAGCTCATACGATCGAGCATCGGGGGACGTGAACGATCCTTTGGTGACTGGTGGTTCAAGAGGTGAGAGACCATAAATGTTTGGTGGGGACAATAGGACCCCGCCCCATGAACAGCTATAAAATGCCGGTACGGGAATCGGACCCAACCAGTCTTAATCAGTATACGAGGATCCTTTTTTTTCTCTTTCTCCTCTTTAGAGGTACGTTGGGTCTGCTCTCTCCTTCCTCTCTCTCTTTCTCTCTTTCTCTCCCGTGTCATCTTCAAGATGATGAAGTTCGCCCCGATCCTGTTGTTTGTCATAGCGATTGTTTTCGCTGCCGAGGAGAAGAAAGAGGAAGAACGTCCTAAAACGTTTAGAAGACTCATTCCAGCAGATGTTCTTCGCGGTAAGTTTTTTTTTTATTTTTTTTTTTTTTTTTTTTGCTTTCTATTATTTTTGAAATTTAAAAAATTCGCTTTAATTTAATGTAGATTTGTTTAATATAGATTTCATGATATAAAAAAGGCACAATGGTATTATGATATGAATACTTAATGTTTTTTGTTAAAGTTTAGGAAAATTTGGTAAAAGGATTTTGTCGCCGATAATTCCGAAGTTAATAAATCCAAGTTAAACAAGATTCCGAGAGATTAATTGTAAATTTATAAAAATATTTTTGCAATGTACATTTTTAAGTTAATGTTTTTAAGTAATGTAGGTGACTTTTTTTTAATAAATAAATTACTTGAAACACAATTTTGCAGTGAATATATCAGTTTAAAACTTTAATAAACTATATTATATTAACTTCCTTTGGAATATGTTGAAATTGTAGAGTATTTTAAAACTTAAATTTCATTCATATTATATTTTTTGCCTATACAATTTTAAAAAGAAATTTATAATAAAAAAACAACTCACGTTCACAATTGTCTTTTAACAAAACAATTATTAAACCAAGTAATTACCATTTTATTCTCATAATTTCTTTCACATAATTTGCATTCAAATGTATTTAAGAGGAATTTTACTTATAAATGTATAGCAGAATAATAGCAGTTCGTCAAAAGAATAAGAACATATACGTGACTCGACATACATATACGTGACTCGAAAATAGAAAAATTTTTACCACTTTTTTTTTAAAAAAATAAAATTATTTATAAAATGTATATTTATAAAATATGTTCTATAAATCAATATTACATTAAAAAACTAAAACTGAGTAATGAAAATGATTAATATAAAGAAAAAAATAAATAAAAAATATACGATTATTTTATTAATCGATCATTTTTATTCTCTATTTCAAATTATTGATCATTCGATTTGAAAATCATTTTCAGAATTGCAAATGAAGTGATCATTGCGATAGGTTTGCAAAAATAGATATAAATCATAGTTTCATCCAATTCCTGTTTCTTCGACTTTCCACTTACGATCGAAGAAACAAGTCCTTGAGATTGCGCTTTTTTTTTGATGTGATTATTTTGTACTCTCGTAATATTTATGATAATGTAATCAACACAAGACAAAATATAATTATTTTCAAAACGTAATGGGACATAATTATTCATAAAAATAGGCGCGCCTATCTGTTTAATTCATTTGAAGATTTATATTAACAACGTATACGAACAGAAAAATAAAAAAATAGTAGCGAGACCACCGGATCGCGTGAAAGTCTTTGTGGTGTGAGGCCCGTTTCTTCTTTCTCCGATCCCGCAACCTGATTCATTTCATTCTCTCTCTCTCTCTCTCTCTCTCTCTCTCTACATGGTATATACATACTCGTCCAGTAAAGTTCCAGTTTCATAATAGAACAGGAAAGCTGTTCTCGAGTTAAAACAGCAGTTTTCTTCCTACTCTGAAATTAAATTGAAATTTTATTATTGAAGATAAAAGTTTTCATATTCAATCATAATTTTTTTATTTATTTCAACAAGGTTAATTTTTTTCATAAAAATTCATCACGTAATAATTGTCATCATTTTTTTCAAGAATATATCGTATATATATCGTAATGTATATTATAATTTTATGAAGATAAAACATTAATAATCAGGAGCGCATAAAACATATTTAATCGCAATTCTTCAAATACGCTTTATATACACAAATAGTTAGCAAGTTAGCGGTTTTCATCACATGAAAATCTACAATAAAGTCACGATACTTGATCATTTATCGGCAGCAATATATTGTCAATATATTATCAATATATCGTTATCAATATCAATATATTATCAATATATCGTCAATATATTTCGATCATTCCATTCGATTAAATATATCGATCATTCCAATAATTTATAATTAAATATCTCTTGTTAGAAGAAGTCTAAAAGCAATTTAAGAGATTGTGTTTTGTTGATTCACATACTGTGGCCTGGATATTGCGTATTTTTCGCACCAGACCTAGATTCCGATGAATAATCGAATCACTAACAAGTTGTTGCCGGCGAACACCGAACATGGTATTTACCGTACATGCATGTATATAATGTCTTGGTCATCGTTTAA